GGAACATAACATAAGTCAGATTGCCAAGGATAACAAGCAAGATTTAGTAAGAACCTCGGCGCGCGCCTCCACGTCAAGAGATTCAAGCACTTTGCGAGTGTATTGAAAGCTGCCTAGTTTTTCCAGCAAGCTAATACAGTATTTCTTGACCTCAATGTCGTGCGTACGCTGACGCAAAATGTCTGGGTAGAAAAACAGTTGAATGTGGAATAAAAATCCGTAACGAGGTTAGTTCGAAGAACTTACGCAAAACCTGTTTGTCCTGTTTCTGCGTACGCACCGCATGTATAACTGGAAACCCAAACTTGCCCTCAGTGAGATCCTCAGCAAAACTCTTATTTTCCGTATACTGAATAGATGAGAAGAATAATGCACTAAGACCCAGCATTCGCAATGATTATAAGTCGTTGCACTTACTTCCTTCAAACTTAGGTTGCAGTAGTCATCACGTATTTGAAAATATAGGCCCAAAATGGCTGTTAACTTTGAATAATCCTCCTTGTTGTCACTAAACAGCTGCATAAGGCGAATGGCCAGCATAAAGAGGCCTCCAGTCTTACGCACAGTCATCAGTTTGTAATCAGATTCGGAGGGACATGTAAAACTGTCGCGCCAGTAGATCTCCATGCCTTGGCCGCGATGCAGTTCCAGCAGCTGTTCCGTATAAACCTTGGTCGCCTGCCCCACAATATACAAACAACAAACGTATTGATTATTGATAAGGTTTGATGAATGAGGGTGAAACCAGCTTGCCTCTGGATGTCCCAATTGCTGCACCTTTTCCAGCGCCAGGAACAGGGCGTAGTTGGCCGCATTGATGGTGCTGGCCACGCCATAAATGGAATGTGCCACGGGTACACCTCTGCGAAGTATCGAATTGTCTTCAATATCATCAATGCTGTAAGTTAGTGTTCAGAACACACACATATAAATATTAGCTTGTGTGGCTGTTATCCATGAATTAAACTAACTAATAGCAAACTAGGGTAAAAGTATGGCTGTTATCTATCAACCCCACAAATTGCAGGTCTAATAAATTATGAGTATGAAGCAGACCTCGCTATATGCTAAGCACAGGCAACATTTAAACAAACAAAAAAAGAGTACATAAATTTCAAACCCAGTTTGAGGCCCATATCACTTCAATAACACGCCCGCTGGCAAGGCAAACTAAACTGGGCAGCAGGCATTTTGCGTAATTAAAAAATGTTTGCGCGCGTGAAAGGCTGCAAACGTTTGTAGGGAATTGGAATCGTGGGCGTTCAAGCGATGCGCAAAGGCAGTCAACCTAAGTGGTCGGAGGATGGAGGGTGGCCCGAGTGGGGTGGGTGCTGGGCACAGCAGCGGAGCAGAGCGGAGCGGAGTGGGCCGGGCCGGGGCGGGCATGTTGCATTTCAAGAGTTACAATATTGTGACAATGGCTGTCGACAAGCTGACTTAATGACAATGGCGTTGGCGATGGCGATGACGATGACGATGACGATGCTGACGCCTTTGAAGCTCTGTTCTTGCCACTGAATGCAGCTGGCATAGTTGTAAAAGCAAGTTTTTGTCGATATGAAAATGCATTTGAACAAAAAACACGAGCCAAGGGAGACTTGTGTAGAAACCCATTTATAAGTAAGTGGGCGGACGCCAAGGCGCGGCGATAACAGCTCTCAGCTGTCAGTCTGCCAGAACAATGCAGGATATTAAGCGGCATTAAGGACATTTCAGCACATTTGCATTTGAATAACAGGCGCTGGGGGCGGCACGGGCAGAGCGACAGGTGGCAAAGAGACAGGATTAGCATCCATGATTGAAGCGAAAAATAAGTCGAAAGGCGCAGCCAAACAATGGCAGACGACAAAGAGATTGATAACCATATATACATATCTTATATAAATACATATATATATATGTGAGAGCTACTGTGCCAGCTATTGTTGAGAATTGTTTAAGGAACAGCTACCCATGGGAGTGCATCAATTAAAGCCTGCGACGTTTTGTCAGGCACTTTAATTGATGGAGTTCAAAGATTAACTGTTGCGCATCTTTAATACTCTTTCTATAGCCCAGACAGACATACATACTTCTGCTGCTTTCTGATTCAACAGTGAAAAATCTAAACATTCAATGCGATTCGATTGCGAGGCATGAAAAGGCACATTTTGCAAATAAATTCAATTGAATTTTATCATAAACAGAACGCTGCGGGCCTTTGTTCAAATTTTGGGATTGATTTCGAAGGCAAATACCCAAAATGTACCCACACGTACAAACAAGGTCGGCCCGTTGGGCTGACGCGTGCGTGTGTGTGTGTGTGTGAGTGTGTGCGTGTGTGTGTGTGTGTGTGTTTAGAGTGTGCAAGTGTGAGTCATCTGCCCAAATTCTATACAAATACTCCACGCTAAGTGCCCGACCAATGATGATAATGCAAAGTATATACAAAAGTGCGATATGAAATATTATCTGATATGAATTTCAGCAATTGCCAGCTGCCAGATAATAGAATGCCCATCTGAGCCAACCAAAAGTTACTATATGATATGCTATAGAAGTGCAAGGGCTTTGAGTTTATATTATTATCAGCTAAAAATGTTTTTCTTGAATCTGCAGCACGTCATCCGTCATCCGAATGCAATCTGTTTTTACAAAATTTCCAATTTTTCCACGTACCAAAGTTTATAGTCTTTCTGTACTTCACACTTGCACAGGAAACTATTTTCGGTTCTTTCTTTATTTTTATTTATTTTACGTTTTTTTTTTCGAATTTAACGCGCTAATAAATTTTGAACCTAAATTGTAAACAGTACTAAACAAAAGGCTAGCAACAACAAACATATGTAAATACACAAATACAAATGTGTAAGAGCGAAGTGAGATAAAACATGAGGCGATGCGGATGATGTGGATGATGGGGTGAAGGTAACGGTGCGAACGTGTTGGGTGTACGGCGAATGTAAACAAAAGCCAAAATGCAAAGGCAATATAAAACGCAACCAGGCAAAGGTCAAATGATTAGTAAAAATGCAATATTTCAACACACCTATAAATAAATTGAAAATGTATTTGTCTACTTACAGCAAACTGGAATTATGCAGCATTTGTACAATTTCGCCAATCTGCGTCAACTTTTCGGCCGGTATAAGCAACCAGTGATTGAAGGCCAAGGCCAACTCGGAGCGAAACTGTTTGCCAGGTATTTGCTGTATGTACGTAAAGGGCTGCAACAAGATCTGTGCGTGGGCGATGTCAACAGAGCATGTAAATAAGCCACAAAAAATAAACTCAGAAGGTTAGTGCTTCGATTAAGTCCAGCAAACAGACGGCAGCTCAAAAATGTCAAAGATCAAGTGGCAGCGCTGCCACTGGTTAACGGTTAACTGGTTTTGGGCTTGGGTGGGATGGCTACCTCGTCCTGCTCCTTTTGCGTTGATTTATCTTTGGTTTTTTGCAGTATGCCATTTAATTCGTCCATTGTGACGCGCGTGTTGTGTTTGCGTTTACTTTGTATTTGTTGATTGACCACGACAACGGTTGGTAATCTGAGCGGGACGTTGCCCAAGCTTTCAATACGCGTGACTAGAATTGTTCGCTCGTCCGCTCGATGTGGTTGACTTTAAAGCAGACAGTGCCAGACAGACCAATCGCACAACGTACCAGATAAACCAACTATAAACAGACTTAGGAAGATTGTTGCTGTCTTATCGATATATCGATATCGATAGAGTACGATGATTTTGGATGATGCTCTTATTCGTCACGAAAATTGGACGGAAATGACAAAAATGTTTAATATCCTACCCTTGTTCGTCAATTATATTTTTTAATTCAGTTCTCACTAATTACACTTTTAAGAATTCTTATTTACAATTAACACCTGTATTTTTTCATATTAATTCTTTTATAATTATGAAATAGCTGGCCACACAAACAAATAAAATTAAAACAATATTCGCAATTCCATACGCATAATCAACAAAAAAAACCTAGTCCAAGCAAATAAACATTTTTGATTGGAGAAAAAAGAACGGAATACCCTAGTTAATTTTGTATAAGTAAGTTTTTTAAATCGTTTTGCAGCACTTTAGAAACCGCAACTCTGCAAATCGGAATAGTATCGATAACGATTCGTTAAATAGTTCAGCAAGGTGCCTGCGTGGAAATTAAGTAAATAAACTTTGTAATCTTTTAACGCTTTGTTTGTCAGAAGACACATTAGAATAATGGCAGCATCACCGCCAGTGCGTATGAATTGGCATCCGAATATGAAGCATACCGAAGTGGAGCGGTAATAAAGCAATACACAAACAGCGACGACAATTACACCTGCAGCTTTGTTTTCCAGATGGATTTGCATTTATCCAGCCTATATTAACAGCAAAAAGACTCGCCAGGAAGGCCGACGACTTCCCAAAGAGAATTGCGTTGAAAACCCCACCTATGTTGAAATTCGTGATGTGCTCTCAGTGTCCAATGTACAATTTGTTGTGGAAAACAAACAGTACTGCCGCGAAAAGAGCAGGGAGCTGCAGTTCCGGGGTCGGGTGCGCGTGCAACTACGCAACGCGGACGGCACATTGTGCAATAGCGAGTTCTCGACGCGTGAGTCGATCATGAGGCATGTAGCCGGTAAAATACCGCAACTGAAAACACGACAGAACAAAACAAATGACCCTCAGCCGCAGCCACAGTCGAGCGGGGCTGGAGCTGGTGGTGGTGGCGGCGGTGGCAAAAAGGGCAAGGGAAAACGTCGATGAATCTGCGAACATTTCTTTTTGAAATCTGTTTAGTTGATTTTTGTAATAAATTGTATACATTTTGCGCTAGCAAAACATCTCTTGTATGAAGTTCAAGTGCAAGAATTCGGCCTTGGTCGAATATAAGAATATTATATTTAGTACGAATGTCTAAGCTGACCCTAAAACCAAAGCAGTTGAAATACGTACATTAATAACCATTGCATATGTGCTCAATTAAAAATGTCTCAAGATCACACGGTGTCAGCGAAAATTCCGGCGAACAGTAAAGCAAAACAAATCAAAATTCGACTGACAGTCACGAAGCGGCAGCAACGAAAAACTAAAATAACGTCTACGATTTCACCCAGTCAGCGTATATAACCCACAGAGCATCGCCAATGCACTGCCAAAACCCTATTGGAAAGACGCTAAGGCGGTGCACACATGATGATACGGTCTAAACATAATAACACTTTCTACATCAGCCCCATTGTCATCACGGTATTGGTGGTGATAGCTCAAGTATCCAATTCCGAAGGTGTGCCAACGTCTAATTCGACAGCTGCTCCGTCGACTTCAACATCGCGCTATGACAATCCACTGGTCGAGCATAAGCACGAACGTAACTGCAAGGCGCTCTGCGAGCACTGCGGTTGCCTTGGATTCTATTGTGGCGAGGAGTGCATCTGCGAGTGCAACGACGAGAACTCGGACACGGAATGTATCCACACCATGCAGGTGAATGCGCGCACGTTGGAATCGCCCTTTGAGATTCTCATCCAGGGACCAAGTAGCAATCGATTTGTACGCAATGCCCAACAGTTCGAGCAGAAGCGCGAGCTTGTGACGAGAAGTGCTGTGGACGGCAAGACAACACGTAATCGTCGTTCCACCATTATCATCTACAAGCCATCGTCGGCAGGCGTGAAAGGCGCAGCTTTGTCACTGAACGCATTGGAAACATCATCCATTAAAGCAAAGAAATCGGATCTTGCACGCCACAAGCGTTCCGTGGACCACCTGGAGTGGTTTAACGATTTCGCCAGCTCCTTGGTGCGTCCATCTCCACTGGGCACGCGGGGCCAGAAGCAGCGTGAGGAAAAAGCTGCCTCGTTTAAGCGTCAAGCGGTTACAGAAGGTCCGTTGCCAATGCTTCAGCGGGAACCATGGTTCCTAGAACATACAGCTCCAAGGCTTTATCGTCCCGCTCCACTATTTAGGCGTCAGCATTTTACTGACGACAACCAAACTGCCAGAAAATCAAAGAAAAGTTCCTCGCGCAAAATCAGAATCGATTCTATTGAAGAGGAATCCGAGACGAAAGCGCCAAATTCCAAACCAGATATGCGTTCATTTCGCGAAGCCCTGCAAGTAATGGAGCGTATTCCTCGCGTGCTTCAGGATACGGTTAGCCATTTGTCCGCCGACGACAACAGTGGCGATGTCTTCAGCTTGAACATTATGAACGATGTGCTGCCCAAGAAAATTCCGCGCAAGGAGCGTGTGCCTCGGCGGCTCAGGCAGAGAACTCGGGATAACGACGCCGACCCAACGCCCGTTGCGACAACTAGGGCACCCGTTGCTGTGCCACCAGCACCGCTGGTGCCCCTGGCACCTCGCGGTCTCTTATTCCCCTGGCTGCGGCAGCAACGTTTGAGGCGTTTGCGTGGACAACAATAGATGTAAATTTCGGTAGTCCCATTTATGTCTGTTTTCTATTTTTAAGGATTCTCGAACGGCTGTGCATTGTCTGGAAGACTATTTATAATTTCCGTTATCCTTTTTGAAGGAATGCCGTATATTTTATTTGAAAATAAAACTTTCTAATGTCTTTGAGTGCTGGGACTTGAATTTTGTTAAATAGAAAAATGGATACTTGTGCAAATAATTGTTGAAAACCTGCGGACAATCAGCAGGGCAGTGTTGTCAATTCAGCTATTAACTAGCTAAGTGTGGCCATATACGGATGGCAGTGTTGTCAATTCAGCTATTTTCTAGCTTTGTGTGGCTATTAACAGTTGCCATCAGCTGGAAACGATAGAAATTACAATGGCGACTTTTAACAACCCTGTTAATCGCCAAGTTGTGCTTAGAAAGTGTATTCAGCTATTTTTAACATTGGATTCAGCAACTTTGTAAGCGGCAGCTGGCAACGCTGATATTAAGCTTCTTTTGGGTCAGTGCGATTGTAGAAAGTGTAAGTGATGCATGCTTTGAGGCTGCGACCCAGAAACGAGCCTTAACTAATTGAAATGCATACTTATGGGGATTGCAGTTAATCAATACAAGCGGAAGAGCATTAAAGAGAGCGACGATGTCTCGGTCAAACGTTGGCAACAGACGCCAACGGTTTCCAGTTGTGTGGATCAGTTGTGCCGAGCAGTGCGTCTTCAGTTGTTGCTCTACGCAGTACACTTAAACAGCTTTTCAACAGGTAGTTAACAATTTCTTAAAAAGTGGTAGAAAGAGAAATTTCACTAAATCAAAGCAGACGCAAAGAGAGCGAAATATCTCAACATTACAATCAATGTATTCGTAGTGTTACAAAGTGCAACTAAATAAAACAAAGTAAAAAAAAAATCAGCCACATAGCTGTATCATGCAGTTCCCCTTCGCCCCGCTGCTTGTTTGCTGCTGTGCAGACGATGACAATAAGTATCTGTGTGAATTCAAGCGTGTTGCGTGTGTGTATGTGTGTGTGTATGCATTAACAAAAATAAAAACAAAGAAGTAAATACAAATGTACGCATACTATATGCAAACGCAACCAAATGAAACAAGCAAAGATATTATCAGAGCTGTGTGTCGCATAAGTAAATATATATACAAAATTTGAGAGCTCGTTGAACCGAAATACGCTCAGTTCGACTTCAAGCACTGAACCATCATATTAATAGACCGCACTGGAGCACATCTACCCCCAAAAAAGCCAATTGAAATTTGTTGGTCAATTGAAATCTGGAATCAATGAATGATTCAACAAGTATTGACAAATGCATATATAAGTATATAAAAGGGGAAAATGACTAATACCCTAGGAAATTGACGTACTTTTTGTCTCTATACCAACTATTTACACAAATTATTTGCATTTACAAACTGATCTCCGAAACCCCAATCGAATTGTTGTACATTCAGAATTGCATTGCGTAAAATGTAGAATCATGTAATAAAATGCCAAAGCCCCCGTTTGCAACAAAACATGCTAAAGTATCTCGCGTGGCAGAGCGATAAAAGATAACAAATACAGCGATATGTGACTAAACTAGCACACATATAGCGCATACATAGATACGCACATGCATACAGCCGTTTGTATTAACGAGTTGGCAACGATAAGCACCGTTAATTTGTTTGATGATAAAAAACAACAAAAGAAAACAGCTGAGAAATCGGCATTTGTTTATCATCTGATGGACAGGAATAGAGTTTGTTGCGTCTCTGCTGCTAAATACCCTGTAATTGTTACCCAAAGCGAAACCTATGACATAACTTGTTTTAATTACTTGCAATAAATTTTGCCACAAGCCAATTTTAATAATTAGCCAAACGTGCGTTAAAACCATAAAATTTCGCTGCTCTATAAATTGACCACCTGCTTATGTAGATAAGCCCAAGGCCAAGCAAGCCAGATACAATTTGTTTTTTTCTATTAGAATACTATACATACACATATATCCAAATATATATGTATATATATTTATATACATATACATACACGCACTTTACTCATATATCTTACCTCCACTTATCATGGACACCACAAAATCTCTTGACTATTCACAGCATGAACCAGCGACGGTAACGCTAAGGAAATACAAATACTTCAATTGCGTCCACAGGCTTATCATGGAGTCCTGGCGCAAGATTCGCGCACGCTTGGAAATCAAACAGATGCCCGCAGAGCTAGACGATGATCTGGAAACTTTGGAGGATTATACGCAGCGCTGGCGATCCGTGCGCATCATTTACTTTACGATGTTCCTCATGGCGCTGGGCTTTAGCATCATATTAACCGGCATTTGGCCATTCCTAAGCGAGGTGCGTACTAAGTCCAAATTCCATGTCCGCACACAAACACTTACGCAAGCATCCCTATAGCTAGATCCCAGTGCGGGCAAAGAGTTTATGGGCATGATTGTGGCAGCCAATCCATTAGGCCAAATGATCTTCAGTCCCATCTTTGGTTGGTGGGGAAACAAGCTGGGCACCATACGGCTACCGCTGTTGCTCTCGCTGGCGCTCTTCACCTTGGCCAGCGCATTGTATTCGTCGCTGGAACTTGTGGACAATGTCAAGTACTGGATGCTGGCCTCGCGATTCCTCATCGGCGTCAGCTCGGCCAACATTGCACTCTGCCGCTCCTATTTGTCGGCGGCTACGCGTCTAAGCGAGCGCACACACGCCGTCTCCATGGTATCTCTTGCCCAGGTGCTGGGTTTCATCATTGGTCCCGGGCTGCAGGCGTTGGTAACGCCACTTGGTCGGAGCGGTCATGTTTGGTTTTGGGGCACTATGCACGTGAACATGTACACCGCCTCCGGCTGGATAAACGTGCTCATGAGCATGGGTAACTTTGTAATGTTTCTGCCGGGCATATTCAAGGAACACAAAATAGCCGCACGTGAGATTATGGTAATGCAAGGCGGCACCTCGGAGCGTGACACCTGGAAGGCAATCAAACCGAATTACTATTCCGCCTGGACGCTAATTGTGGCCTTCTTTGTGCTGGTTTTCAACTTTGTGCTGCTGGAGACGTAAGTTTGAACACAGTTCAAGTTATTGCCTAATGTCAGTTGCCTATTTTCAGCTTGGGTACATCGCTAACCATGGATATGTTTGCCTGGACCAATGACGAAGCACTCTACTATATGGGCATATTTATGGCCACAGCAGCCATAATATCTCTGGTCACTTTTGTGCTTATTGAACCGCTGTGCAAGCTTTTTGCTGAGCGCTTTGTGCTCATCTGGGGCGGCTTTTCTTTGATGGTGGTGGGTCGTCTGCTTTACATACCCTGGGGACCGGATCCGCCCAAGCTGGCGGTGGCCTTCAACGCTAGCGCCAATCTTACTATCGATAATCCCATCTATTTGGGTTGTCCACCTACTCAAGATTGGTGTCCTCAACTGCCAGCGCTTACATTGACACAGTTCATTATTGGATTCGCACTAACGTCAGTGGGTTATCCCATTGGCGTTACTCTGATACAGACAATATTCTCCAAAGTGCTTGGACCACGCCCGCAAGGCGTCTGGATGGGCATGATGACCGGCGCGGGCTGCTTATCCCGTGTCATGGGTCCCGTATTCGTTGGCTCGATTTACACACGCCTCGGCACCTATTGGACATTCGGTTTTACATCGATTATGATGCTGATTTCTATGATCTGGCTGCTGTGCAGCAAGTAAGTACCTGACTAACTGGATCCATATTACATTCTAATCCTGACCTTTTTTCAGTCGCGTACTTATCCCACCAACATTCGAGAAACCGGCTGTTCCGCTGCAGGAACTGCACACGTCGCCGAAACACATCACGAATGATCCCGACGACGCAAACGCGCCCATCACTGAAGAATCTGATGAGCTGCTGGCGACTTCCAAGGTGATACGCATTATACCCTCATCCAAGGCGTAGTGTCGTCGTCGATTTTAATACTTTTCTAATATGACTGCCCCTAAGCTACACAACATTCACTATGAATTTCTAGACAATAGTTTCACACATACAAATATATTTTTGATAGTAACTTTATGATGCACTTTTTATGTTGTCTTCACATGGTTATATTTTTGTTTCTTTTTTCACGATCGCACAAACATATATTGGTGCTGAAGTTTATTGGTTTATTCTAATCACACAAATCCAATAGTTTGTAGTTATTTACGCTTAAGAATGAACTTCTTTGATGAAATAATGAAACATATAATGCTGGTAATATTTGTTACCTGCCACATTATTGTTGTCGTCATTATCAGTCAGTGCTACATAATTATGATAGGTATGATAGGGATGCCTAGATGGACGATGATGATGATTATTATTTTGTTTTTGCGTTTGTTATTGCTCTGTTTGATTACGCGTACGGGATTACCATGGCGGTGGTATCCACATATGTAAGAACGGCAACTGCTGCAGTTGAGGATAATGATGCGTCGGCGACCAGCAGAGTAGCCAACATGATGCACCGTTAAAAGCGTTAAAGTTGTATATGGGTATTAATGGTGGCGCAGTTGCTGCAAATGCACCGCCCAAAGCAGCTGCTGCTGTCACTCAGCTGCTGCCGTTATAATAAAACTCATCTCAGTAGGGCGCATAGCGGCGACCTGGCGGTGAAGGACCGCGCATGCCGCGCGACGAAATCATACGCTCGTCAAAAGAGTCACGACTGAAGTCCTCATAGCCATGCGGCGTTGGTGAGCTGATTGATGATTAGAAAGCAAAATATTAAAACATAAAATAATCAGGGGTAAAGATGTTTGGTATCTTCTCACCCATAACGACTCATGCCGTTGCTGCTGCGTGGCGGCGGTGGTGAACGCCGACTAAACATGGTGTCATAGCCACGGGAGACACTGCAGGAACGCAGACTGCCGCTCAGCGGTGGGGGCAGGGGCATTGGTTCACGACGGGAAATCGGCGGCGGTGGGAAGTCACGCATGCGTGATGACTGATAGCGACGCTCGTACAGATCGCGTGAATCCTCGAAACGGCGGTCATAGTAATCGTAATCCTATAGTTTTAAAATCCAAGACAGTTAGTTTGTTTAGCGTAAATTGTTTTGGGTACATTGAAGTTTATATGTTGATGCATTTAAGATATTCGCGGCGAGTCGATTTGAAGATTAACTGCTGAAAACCTCGAACAATCAGATTGCTGGAGACATTGAATTATGAAATCAAGCAATTGATTATTTTTGAAATATCTTCGAGAAATAACGTTTGAATTTTTGGGGTTTTGAGCAGTAGAATCTCTTAAACGACCTGTCGGGAGTAGCCAAATTGGTTGTTTGTCTGCATTTACCCTAAAGCCGTCCATTATGCGATCACGCAGGAATGGCGGCGGTGGCGGTGGCGGAGGATACGGATCACGACTGTACATGCGATCTCTGTAGCCGCCGGCGCTCAGCGGTGGTGGTGGCTCACGTCCACCAGTGCCTGTCCAACGCGGACATTCTTTCGACCAATGACCGGAACGGCCGCAACGATAACACTGCTCCGGATCGCCCATGCCCGGCTTGGGGCGTACCCGGCTAGTGGATACCTGAACCTTGAGCGGCTGGCCATCGACAACGCGACCGTTCAACTCCTTGATAGCATCCTGGACATCACCGACACAATCCAAATGCACGAACCCATAGTTGCGCACAATGTCGCATTCGACGACGGTGCCGTATTTCTGAAATAGTTCGCGCACCTCCGGCGCACGCGTTTTGTCGGTTAGATTTCCAACGAAGATTTTCGTTGTCGGCGTATTGGGGGCGCGTCGGCTTTTGGCGGCCTCCACCTTGATGGCGTTATCGTTCAGCACGTAACCGTTCAAGTTCTGTATGGCATCGCGACCCTGCTGTTCGGTTTCCATGTGCACAAAGCCATAATTCTTCACCACATCGCATTCGACTACAGTACCGTATTTCTCGAAAAGCGCACGCAATTCGGTTGCTTGCGTCTTCTCATCGAGATTACCGATGAACAACTTGAACGTGCCGGCTCCGGGCATCACGGCGACGGTTTCGGCTGCGGCGTCGTCCACGGTTCTTGCGTTTATTCAATTTCTTGGGAAGCTTGAGCGTTAGCGTACGCGATTTGTATTCTTTTTGTTTGTTTACGCGTTATTGACGTGGGTGCAGCGCAGCTTGAGAACGACGACAACGGCGGCGGCGACCGCGACCTCAAAGTGAAAGAAGAAGAAGCAATGCAATTTTTCATTTTGATTTGTACTGAGGCAGGGTGCAAGCAATTCGATACAAATTAAGGAACAAAGAAAGGTCACAACGCGTCCATTAAACTTAGAATCAGACACATGCACAACCCGTGAAAAACCATAATTTCCACACAATATACAAGATGGCGGCGACAGCGACGGCGGCAAGGCGAACCCGTGGTAGTAGTATATGGCAGTGGCAAAACGACGGGTTCAATTGTAAATATGTTTACATTTATAAAGACTTCTTACCTGTGCACTTTTAAAACCAAATAAAATATTGCTTGAATCTACTTTTTGTTTTTTCTTTTCAGCAGCTCACAGAAAACTCACTTTTTCACAACTTTTCGGCACAATGACTTTTAGGTATATGTGCTAGAGGTGACAAAAAAATCATCGATGACAGAGAACTATCACTATCAATGTCACTATCGAAGAGATAAAAATGCAAGCCTGAGTGCCGATAGACTATCGACACAGTCGTGCATGCGTGATTATTTCGATACTTTTTTTATTTTCATATTTTTTTACATCAAATAAACGAATGGTTTAAGTTGTTGTTATCCATAAATTAAGCAAGCATATTTAACAAACGGCATTCGATGATAGTATGCTGATCAACTGGATTTTTATAAGCAAGCATCATGCATAATCGGATATGCAAAAATAAAATCAAACATCGATATCACCTATTTTAGGGCTCCACCATTTCTGTTAGCATGCAACACTGGCAATGTGAATTAGCGCTCTTATTAAAAAAGCGGGAAATATAGTTGTAATTAAACTGGCGTAATAATGGAAACTCCTACGGGACGTGGTGCACGGCCGATACGCACCCCTACACCGCGCCTCTCGGAACGCAAGAAGCAATTGTTTCACAGCCGCAGCTCCATGTTGGACCAAATAGATGACGACTGTGACGTCGAGGACCCTTTGTTGGGTATAGCACCACTAAAGCCAAGGCGCCAAAGTTTGTCCATTAAAGCAACCGTAAAGCCATCTAATGTTCGTAATCTGTTCGACAGCATTGCTGATGGAGATGTCCACAGCTTGCGATTGCGCGCCAGCACCAGCAGCTCACCGGAGACTAATAAGGAAAATAAAACCGCTCAGAAGACAAGTGGCCCTGGCCTATCGCTGGGCACGGAGGAGCAGTTGCCACATTTGTTTACCAAAACCATGCGTATAAATAGCAATAGCAGTACCAGCCAAAGCCACAACTCTAGTCCGCGCACGCCGAAATCACGAGAACAATTCGATGATATCAGCACGGACATGGATGACTCGCCCACTGACCAAGACCGCAGAGCAGTTAAAAGAGCGCACAATATGTCGGATATAATAACAAATAATTCCTCACCCGAATCCGGATCAACGTCACCGCAGAGCAAGGTGCGCAGGACGCACAAGGAGTGCATATCAACGATGGCCTTTTATTCACATTCTGCCAAATCGAATATTGCTTTGCGAAGGTCAGGTCCAAACCCTTCGAGAGGAGCACTTCAGCAGCAACAACGCGTCGGAAAGGCAAAAGTTACTTCGCCCAGCTCTCGTCATAGGTTGGGTATTAATAAGGGCGTTCGTCACAATATACGCAAGCCCCAGCGAACTGCTGGGTCCGTCAATTTGGATGATATTTTAGGCTCTTTGCGAAATGAAAAGTTACGCCGGCTGATTACCACGGGGCGTGAGGATCGCGCAAAGGTAGAGGAGGTCCACCAAATACTTCGCAGTGCCAAAGATCCCATTCAGATGGCTAAGCCCCTTCGCGGTTTGGCTCTTGATGACGCCAACAACAACAACAATAACAACAACAAGAGTCCCTCAGCACTATCCCTATCTCCCACAACACTCGACTTTTCCGATCTAAGCGACGAAGAAGAAGACCGTGCAACAAAAGACCCATCCTCTGCAATGGAGCTGGAACCGGTCATACCATTGATACGCCATACTAATGATACATCCCCAAAGACTGACCCGCCCACCAATCGGAAGTTCTTTAAATCGGGCCGACGTAGTAGCACCTGTATGGAAGTGCGCATCACGGACAATATACGGGCTAGTGTTAGTCAGGGAAAGATCTCATTGGTAGAGGCACCACCTAAAAAGCACCGGCAAGTGCGTGTCAAATCGTCGACAATATTTTCCGCGGAACAGGCAACCGTGGATGCGATACTACGTAATCTAGATGATACCATTGTGGATGAAATTGTTGAATCGGAAGCGCCTAAGACAGAGGAGCCTGTACTGCTGTCAGATCCTTATGAAAAGTACCGCCAACAAATACCATACCAGACTGACGATCCGGCCGTTATCGAACAGCAGGCCGTGTTGCTTGAGTTTCTCATAAGCAATAACATATGCACAGATAAAAACTTTGAAATATTTATAGCAGATCCAGATAACCACAAGGAAGAAGCCACAAGCATTGTAGATAATCTGTACATGGTAGTCTATGCGGAGCAGCAAGCACTGGCAAAATCTGATGGCGCAAACGCAATTGCATCGGAAGTACCTGAGAACGACATTGCGCAAACGCTCAAGGAACCAGTTGACAACTCGGTTACTAATGCAGCGCCCATTGAGCCGCAAGTCAAATTGTTTCCCATTTTCACACAACGCCTGCAGCCGATGCAACAAATGTCGTCGCGCCGCAAGTTGGATGCCTCGGCACGCTTAATGGCTGCTGCTACTGGTTCCAATCAGTATCAAATCGATGCCGGCCAAAAGGCCTTTGGAGCCCGGCAGTGTCAGCAGTGTGGATTAGTTTATACCGTCCATGAGCCAGAGGAGGAGCAGCTGCATCGAGAATATCATGATTCTGTACATGTGCTGCGTTTTAAGGGCTGGATAGACGAAGACATTGTGGCCGTGTGTCCGGACTGGGCGGCAGATGGGCGGATTATACGATTGAATGAACACGCACCAGCTATACGCCTGCAGCGGCTAACAGAGGTGATCAGGATGGTGGACAAGGAACTGGGCTACTCCTCGTACATTATACCAAAAACGTTTGTCGCCTACTTTGCTGTGCGAAAACAGCAAATTGTGGGCCTATGCCTTGTGCAGCCGTTGACGCAGGCGCATCGCTTCATTCAGGTCGATGGGACCGACTACTTCAGCGAGGAGACATTCGAGGCTAGGTTTGTGGTCAATGCAACTCTTTATCTCCGTTCCTTAACAAAAACTTTATTTTATTTCCTCTGCAGCTGCGGCGTGTCTCGGATTTGGGTCTCACCACTGCAACGTCGTAGGGGAATTGCTAGTAAATTACTGCGCGCTGTGCAATCTCACACCATGTTGGGCATTGAAATATCCCGGGATCGCATTGCCTTTAGTACGCCGACAGACGATGGACGTGCTTTGGCGCGTCAATTTACGCAAAATGAGAATTTTCTGACCTATGACCAATAGGAAACCTAGGAAGTTGGCTATTGAATAGCTAACTAGTGAACATTTGTTAAATAACCTTTGCTACAAATCCTTATTTTTTAGTTATTAAGCGTAAAAGATTGTTTTAAACTGAGATTGTGTTACATTTACAGATATGCTCAATTACAGATGGTGTTTCTAATCTATTGTAAATACGTTTTACGAATGCAATAATGGATACTTTTATTTGAATTTGTATAAAAGCGTAATTTTTGATTTTTAGCAAGTTTGAATTTCATCAATTCGTAAAATATTCAAGAGCTGAAAATCTCGCGATATCTATCGATAGTTAATAGATTTCAATATCGATCACAGACAGCCATGTAACTTGAGAATCGATAGTTTAGCTTATTTGTGAGCCAGGCTTTGGGCGTTGTTTTTATTGCAGCAGTCAAGATTTTTATTAATTTTTAATTAGAAACGTATTTGCATTGCTCAAAAGTGGACTTAAAGTGTGTCAAGTCACAATTTCAGTTGCCATAAATTGAGTGCAAATGGTGAGTGCAAGAAAATAAATTATAACTAGCAAAGCAACGCGGCATCTGACCACGCCCAATGTGATTGAATTAAAGTAAAACCACAAGCACACTTTGGGGTTGAATGTAGCATAGCAACGTTTCTTATTGCTTACATCCATTGCAGACAATACAGCGTTGTGTTAGTGTGGAGCAAGTAAAGCGTGTAGCTAATAGAGAAAAAGGCCAGTGACTGCATTGTCAACGGCATCTACAATTACAGCCATAAGTAAATAATGTCCACAATCGAAGACGAGCGCAAAGCGTACATTAATAATCCATATTTCACTGGACCCATCTACGGCAGCTACAAGCCGTTTTATGTGACAATCGCCATTTGCACAGTAGTCCTTGGGTCAATAATTGTATTAAACATTATCTTGGGCTGCTGCTCCAAACACCGAAAGTACTGGCAGGACAGGCATACAGGTAATCGCTGGTTAGTTTCCATTTGGTCTTCAACGCCGCACAAGCAACCACCCCTAGATTTCACTGAGCTAAAGGACGCATCCTACTTCAATCGTTTCCATGTAAGTAGCCAACTCGGCATGCTAAACTTTCACAAAATGACACTTACCATTTGCAGCCCACTACACACCAGCAAGTGTTCCCTGACGACGTCGTCATCTCCGTTGACGATTTAGAGCCCGTACACCAGTCGCATCATCAGCGTCCACCCCGTCCAGAAGGTCGCACACTGCATCAACAACGCCAGCGTGAAGAATACGTTGAGTTGCAAAAGCGTGAAAGCGACATATAAGCCATGGCATTATACATTCTTTATCCAGCTGTTGCTGCTCTGGCGCTCTTTGTTATAGGCGTCATCATTATCATGCTGCGCTATGGGCCGCGTCTGTGCGGGCTACGTCATCATGCTCTGCCCGACGACCATGACTTGAGAGAGAAAACCTACGAGCATGAGATTAGTTATGCCTGATACGTTGCGCCATTTTCATAATTGTCTTTTAATACATAAATGCAGCACATTACCTTTTTATATACGTCCATTTTAACTAACCATAGTTTTAAGTTGCTATTTTGACCATTACTAACTCATAACTGCTGGAGTTGCACATTTTTTTATACATGCAGTACAAAGTGCCTAAAATATTTAGTAAATAATATTTGTCAATCAGCTTTTTTATCATTCCATATCGAAAAACAAAAGTAATGTGCCTTCAACATTGAATCTCATTGATAAAATGTTTGCCGTCCAAGTGTCTTTTAGTACAGTAAGATCGCTCCGTTACAAACTTATACCCTTTTCGTAATTTATGTAAACAGAATGTTAATTAAATTTTTATATGTTCATTTATAAATGAAAGTTATTTAAAACTATGCAAACTCTATACATTTGTATTTAAGCATTTATACGATTTGGACCCAGAAAAATATTTTCAATAAACGATCAATTTTAATTCATAAAAAATATGTGTTTGCTGCAAGTTATCTTGGAAAGCCTTTATGCAAAAGTTTCCATTATGAACATACAAATAGTAATAAGCATATAAATGCATGTGCTTTGAGCATTTAATAACAATTATGATGGAAAATGGCAGGAAAAATATTATATATGCGTTTACTTGTAAGATGTTAATAATCTCATTTTGTGTTCAGCAATGCATATGGAAGATAGTAATTCGTATTTCTTTTCGATAGTTAGTAAATTGGATGTACCTGGTCCAGCACAAAAGTCATACGCTGTCATTGATGTAAATTTGATAGTTTTCAATAAATTGCGTATGTATTCGTCCCTTTTCTCCTGCTCCTTCTCACTGTTCATCTCTTTATCGCTTTGTTCTGTATTTACTTGGTCTAAAGCTACGTCTTTGCCCTTTTCGACATCGTTTTCATTTTCGTCTTTAGTCTCTTTGGCTTGCTCCAGATCTACTTCTTTAAGTGTATCAATTTGCGACCTGGCTTCTGTCGCAGGCTTTATTTTTTTCGTCATCTGGGAGTAATCAGAAACTTCATCGTCGTTATCACTTTCGATGAATGTATTGTCTGGGGATGGTTTTGCAGAACTCTCGACCAAGCCATGTATACTGCAATACCGATCTATCACACTGAAGCGAAGCTTATCGCCTACAATGCCGTTAAAGTCCTCGATAAATTTTAAAAAGATTTCCGAGCTTAGATCAAACACCGCAGCTGCGTTGATGTAAGCCTCCGCGTTCACGCGAAATTTCTACAAAATTCCAAAATTTAGTTGAGATTGATATTGTTTTTCTCAGTACCTACCAATCTTATGTTGGCAATCAGCTCTTCGTCTTCGATCTGGTGGCCATACTCGTACAAATCAATTGTTACATCCGCCTCTAGGCCACTGGCCAAACGGCGCTTGATCACATTTAAACAATTGTTGGTAAAAAAGGATACCATGAACTTTTTGCTCAGATAAATCAATGTTTGTAGTGTCTGCAGATCATACGAATCCAGTCGACGGTTATCGTGCCAGTACAAATATTCAATGAATTTTCTAAAATCATTGCCCGACACATCGTTCAGCACAATGTTGTCGGGAATCTTTGCCTCCTCGAAATCGCCCTCAAACATGCGTTCAAAAACAGGTGAAACACTACAAAAGACATATGTATATCTGATATGGTTTAATATATAGCAAAATAATTCTGTACCCACCTCATGAGCACAAATTTATGACATTTTAATAGAATCTTATTACCATCATTGTCATAGACGACGAAACTGCAATCCGACAAGTGGCCGGTCATCAGCAAATGTTCCATGCGTTCGCGGGGTCTACAAAGGTAACAAGTGTAGTTATTTAAATAAAGAGATTTCAGGTCGGGCACCGTTAAAGCAGTTAATATGAGTATATCGGCTAATTGGACTATAATGTTGATCTCTAAGTTCAACGGAAGGACGAAAATGGGGGCTTGATGGACTTGCCTCTTGGAGCACCGCATTTTGCAGCTGCAATCAATTGTACTTATTATCTACCTCAACATGATAGTAAGGTATATGGTTTTCAAATTATAAAAGTAATTATCAGCTTGCTCACCTGAGATCCTGCCAGTTTGTCGCCGTGTTCTGCATTTTAATAACCAAGTTTAGAAAAGCAAACGCTAGTTGCACAGACAAAAGTGGCGGCGTCAATGCAAATTCACGTATTTAGTGTTGCAAAACGACTAACCAAGAACTGCGAATTTAACAGGATACGGTCACTTTGTTCTATCAGCTGTCTGCTGTTTTCTGTTGCCGTTGTTGAATTCAATATTAAATTAAGCAACCACCTGCTTTTAAAACAATGATTTTATTTGTTTGCATTTGGATCGGTATCGGCCTACTGCCATTAACCCAATCAGAAATCATTGAGTGCCCCACGTACAGCGTACCACAGGTGCGAGCGGAAGTGGAGGGATCCGGCGATATGTCTCTGATGTTTTACTACGTGTCTTGGTCGAGCGATGCCAGACAGGCACGTTTGGTATACGATGGCGTGGCCCATTACTACAAGGAATACGCCTCCTTTGGCGCCATCGATTGTTGGCATCTGCAGTGCAACTGCAGCCGCACACATCGACAACTACCCGGCATGGCGGTTAACGGCGGGTATCCGGACAAATGGCCCACGCTGATGGTGAACTATGGGCGGCAAGTGAAGCTACAGTATCAGGGTGCATGGCATTTTGAGGACTTGACGCGATTCATGAACAATCTAATACAGCCCATCGATCGAGTGCATAGTACGGCAGAGCTGGGCGCCCTATGGAGTATCTCGGACGCCGTTGTCCTGGCGGTGCTGGACTCTGCCGATGGTCCGACATATAGGCGTTTTGTGGCGACGGCAATACAGTGGTTGGAATTCGATCCGGAGCGTAACGTACGCTTTGCGGTCGCTTTTGGCCGTCAAGCTAAGAAAATGCTCAGGGTGGAGGGGCTATCACTGCCGCAACTAGTTGTCATAGATAACCGGCATGGCTTGCATAGTTACAATAAATCGGATGTCTGGCAGCCCATGGAGATCTTGCATTGGGTGCGACCCAAGGTCAATCCTCTGCAAGCCGCTGGCTACGGAACACCCGCGAAGATTGCGATTAAGGCGCGTCACACGCCAGTGCTGGCCATGGCCATACGCATGCATCGGCAACACTCATTATTCACGAGCGATGATCTATTACGTAAGGAGAATGTCGACTGCGACCATTACTGGAAGCAAGAGCTGCAAGACGGCAGCGAAGCGCATAAATGGGCTTTGTTTCAAATTTCGCCAGAGCTGTATGAAGTCCCTAAGCCGCAGGAACAAACGGCCAAGAATTGCTATCGCGCATTTCAGCTCAACAGAGCCACTCTGGCCAATTACTACCACATCAATGGCTTCCTAAATTATTTATGGTCTCAACACACTCACGAAGGCCACTCGGAAGCGGAGGCGCGCCAGCTGTTGGCGCTTCGCACACGTAATCGCTGCTTGGCGCACACCCATGCCCAGCAGGGAACGCCGGCAGGAAAGATTGGCATTGCGAAGCTGGTCGCTAAATACGGTCAGCTAATGTGGATGCACTCGGCGGAGCATCATATACAGAATAGTTCATTGGCCGTAGTGCTCTTCGATGGAAACAAACACCGCGACTTTCTGCATCAAATTGGCATTGATCAGTTCCAACTCAATCATAAAAGAGATGCGTCCACAGTCCAGGTATTCATTGTGGATGCAGCCAAAGAAGCGCTACACGTCATGCCACAGCATCAGACGTTCACCTATCTGGCACTGAAGGAGTTCATGAAGCAGTTTTATGCCAGACAGCTGCCGCGGGTCCAAAGGAACACTATATTGACCACTGTCCCATCCCAGGATGCATCGTATATACAGGTATACAATCGCCAGTTATTGCTGCTGGCACTGCAGCACTCCAATGCAACCAATGTCGTACTCATCCAGCGACCGGATTGTGCACTCTCGGCCGTCATGTCACAGGAGCTGATGCAAGTGGCAGCTATGTTACGCAGTCCCGAACTGAGCTTTATTCGCTTCGATAGCCAAGCAAACGATTTGCCCTGGGAACTCACTATGCCGGCGTCACCAGCGCTACTCGTGTTTCCACAATCTCGACCCACAGAATCTGTGGTGTTTCCCATTGATATTCGCGTGGACACGGCCAATATAATGTCCTTCATATTGGCACAGTTGGAACCAGAGCAGCAGTTGCGCTTAGTTTTGGCCAGCTGCCGGCGGCGGATAAGGCATGCGCGCAGTTGCTTGGACTTTGCCGGGAAACTAGTGCTCCAGCACATCAGCCAATATTTGAAATACTGGGAGATATATGTGAAGGAGCGCGATCAGATCTTGTCACATCTCAAGCAGTTCAATGAGATGCACATTGCCATCGAAAGTAGTATAAAGTTATAGTTTATAAATTTATCTCAATGTGCTAGAATCTTTCTAAAAATTGACCGTTAAACTAGTTAGCATAAAAGTATTGGGTAAGATTTTAGCGGGAGGGAGCTCACTTAACTGATATGTTAAGCCCAAAATAAGTTTAACTAAATATTGTTACCAATAAGTCTAGTATAAGCATTTAGTAAATCATCAACAAGATTAAAGACTTATTCATGTTTTTGTTCCACGCTCAAAATTCAGTATTTTTCAAAACGAGTAAACATATTTCAAATGCATATACATTATGTGTGCCCAGCTGCCTTTAGATCAAAAATACTTTTACTGCAACTATCGATACTGTTTTGAGTGTGGTTGTAGTAAGTGCAGCAAGCAGTTGCTTAAAATGTCACGACATTCGGATAAACTTAATATTATAGATCAAGGTACATATCAAATTCTAAAAAAGGATAATGGAAACTCAACGCCAAAGGTACTACGCAGTGCCAAGTACAAAAATAAGCACAAAAGGGAGCAACAGTGTACTCTCTTGGACTTCCTCGTAGTACCCCGCCAAAAACAGAAACAAATAAACAAACAGAGACGCCCACACCTGGTAGCACGAAAGTGCGTGGCGCTGCAAACCAAGCGCAAGGGAAAGACGCGATTGCATCCCAAACGACGTATAGCGCGGCTGAAGCGCATTATCAGAAAGTATCGCAATTGGAAGCAGCATAGGGACGAGGACAACTATGTGGAACCGCTGCAGCAGTCGCAGGAGCTAATATCTGTCAGTCATGAATCCACAAGCGAAAAAACCCTGCAGCCTCCGCTGTCCGAAAAGCTCCAGAACTTGACCTTAGGCGAGACGGAGAAGTGGAGTAGCCTGTTAGTGGAAAGCTGTCTTTCCGCTCCTGTCCAATTAAAGGAAATTCAGCGCCCGACCTTGAACAACGTGGAGCCAAACACATTAGAAGTAATCACAAATTTGAGGTGCTTGTCCCTAAATGACGTCGTGTCTGGCCAACCAGCATCGTCTGCTCATCAAATACATTCCCGGCGATTTAGAAGGTGCGCATCTGTTAAGTTATCTTGCTCCCTTTGCTAATCAACTATCTGATACACAGCTATTGTGATAATTGTACGACGCCGCGCCTCAAAGATTTGACGACTCAATTGCTCATTGACTTGGAACGCTTCCAGAAGCGTGCCTACGCCCACAATGAGATTAAAGCCCGTGCACATCCGCGACTAGTGGTGGGGTTTCGGGAGTCATTGTCCAGGCTGCGAATAAACAAAGTGAAACTGCTAATCCTGGCCCCCGACTGTGAAATGTGTCCTGCCCCAGGTAAACGTCATTTACTGCACTAAAAATACTGATTCTCATTTTACGTTTACTCCTTGTTAGGCGGTCTGGACGACACGATCGACGAGCTGAAGCTAGTCTGCCAACAGCAAAGGGTGCCCTATTGCTTCTCGCTGATGCGCCGGGAATTGGCCTATGCGCTTCGCAAGCGTGCACAAATCTCGTGTGTGGCCGTTTTGGACTATGATGGTGCCAATGAAACGTATAAGCAACTGCTGCAGGAGCTGGATGTGGCGCGCTATCAGTACAAATGTTTGACTGCAACGTGATCTTTAATGCTTCAAGGATTTAAATATTCAAGTGCCGAAAAGGGTGCCTAGAAATACTTCAATAAACAAATTCAAGCCAAATGTATGCATAGACGAGATTCAATAATTTGAGGGCGTCATCATTGTGGTGGTCACCAGATCGTAAAGTGTCGAGCTCTCGTTCCCAAATTCGGTGGCTGCGCCCACTAATCCAGCCGTGTCATTAAAGCTATTAAAGGATTGTATGGCGTCCTTGGCCTGCTGTGCCGCCAAGTTAAATTGTATGAGTATAATAAGATAGCTGGTAATGCCACCGCTGACACCATACAACGTTTCCATGTCCAGCGTGAAGAAGCCGCAGGCTGAGAAGTCCACCGAATGATTGAGCAACTTCAGCGACAAGTGATTCACAATCTCGTAGAGTAAATTGTCATCAGCCACGACGCCGCACTTATGTAAACTTATGCCAGTGCGCTTGGAGGCCAACGAGGTTTTCCAGCTTAAATAAATCAGATAAATGCACTTTCCCGATGTGTAGACCAGGACAATAACCGTGATAAAGGGATTCTTTGCAGAGCGAAACAACGAGGGTATCGATTGGGCCCGCGTTGCACAATATAGAAAATACAGCTGAGCCGTAAATATCAAGAAACCATAGGCCATAAGCGAAAGAATAGGATAGCTCCATAGCCCATTCATTGCCTTGCCTATCTCGCAGATCTCGTCGTGCACTTGGCACAGATTGTTCAGCTTCTCCTCGACTTTGGTCGCATTGCTTAATTCGCTTTCGTGCGCCATGTTCATCATTGGATTTGGATTGGGCTGGTGCGGCTTGCGAGGCGTTTGAATTGATTCGCCAAAAGAGTTTAGCGAGTGGGCGACTAATTACAACAAATACGATTATTGGTAATAGGACAAACTTAAAGATTACTTACTTGGTGCGACTTTGTTGTTCTTGCCACCAGAGCCTCTCAGTGATCCTATATCAATTCCACCGAGCTCCTTGTACAAATACTCTAGATTACTGTCGTATTGTGGTGGCTGCGTTTCAGAACTGTCTGCCGTATGTGGCTCAGGCGCATCAGCATCTCCAGTTAACCAAGTTTGAAACTTTTCGTGCTCGGTCACAAGATCCTCCAACGTGGCATTTATGGCC